TGAGGGTATTTTTATATTTGTACCATCATTCTAATAAATGTGGTAAAATGAATGTCGTTGTAGGGCGCTATTTTTGTAGTGTATGAATATATTTTTTAATCATAATCAATTTGTGATGTTAGTCTGTGATTGTAAAAAAATCCACCTTAACAATTGAACGTGATGATAAGTGAGGTGTCCTTCTTAAAAAAAGACTAGAGTTTAAAAAGTAAACATTTATTGACTATGAAATTAGTCTCACTATAATACTATTAGTTGGGTTTCATTTTTCTCATATTCCAATCGGTTTATTGTTTTGCAATTAATCTGATTTTGGGTTCAATTTTGAAATTGCTTGTCCTATTACATTGGCATACTCTTCAAATAGGAAAAAAGTATTCGAAGCGATTCTTACTCCCTAGAGAGCATTTTTAGTGCAACTGTACTCTCTACGACATAACTATTATAATTATGTATAAGTACGTATTTATAATAATAAATTTTTTTTTTCTCTTCACGTTAGCTCTGACAAGTTTCTAAAGAAAGAAAAAAAATAACTTTAATATTATAACTATGTACTCTTCGGAGTACATAGTTATAATAGTAAAGTTATTTTTTTACTCAGTACGACCAGTGGCGGACTCAAAAAATTATATAACTGGGGGCAAAAATTTATATTACTATTATGAAAAGACAATGTCAGTTTTGGTTGGAACGATCACGTTAAAAATGTAAAAATACCAGCTAGGAAGAATCTAATAAAATTACAAAATTGGATTTACATATATTAGAGGTGAAATGGTGGTTCGTGGATAGAGGCCTATGTGAAATAATATCTTAATTTTTTGGTTTTGGTGGTAGCCATAGGTAACGGGGTTTGAAAGGGGTCTCACAGTAAGAGATGAAATCAACTCCTATAACATGAGAAACATTAATTCCATCAAAATAACATGTGTATTAAAAAATAGTGAAAAACATTTGTTCTTTTAAAAGAAAGTCATTTTAGCTAAAATTAATATTTTTTATTCAATATTTAAATTAAAAAAAACTCTCATTTTTCTCCCACCACAAACACTAATCCCAAAAAAAAAAAATCAAAATAACATGAAATTCTTACATTACCAAACCTTTCTGTTTCACGTGCTAATCGTTTTTATGGCGCAGGAACCCCAAACCAAACCAAACAACATCAAAATCCACAAGGTTCCTGTTTTGTGTGAACATTAAAGGTTGAATCGGTTTGATAGTGCTTATGGTTAATTTGAACTTAATCCCCCTTGACCCTAATCTTTCTCTTTATATATTTTATATTAACGATTATTATTAGTGGATATGGGACAGTTACTAACTTGGCAGTTATCATAATCGTGGTCTATCATCATATGGGTGGAAAGAAACGTGGATTGGGGTCATACTCTGGGCTCTATTTCAGCATTCTGAGAAGGGCTCACGATTTGGGCTCCGAGTAGACGAGTTCATAATCCATTGGGTTATCTTATTCAGGTATTAATACATGGACTTCCCAGTTATGCCTAAACAGGCCCATCCGATTTACGAACCCGGAACAGTTCCAAATTTGACTCAAGAACAAAATCCCATCTCCACGTTCAAATTTATCTTACACCCTTTTGGATTCAAAGCCCAATGCCCTAGTTCTTGTTCCCTCAAACTCAAAAGCTATCCATGCCCACAAACGCAACTGCGAAATTCCAAAACCCCCGAGTCTCACTCCGTTTTACCCCCATCGGCGCCAAATTTCCACCCAGACCTGTAGGCAGCGACCCATGACGGCAAGTTTTTTCAAATTTTAGAGGGGGATGCCAATCCCAGCCCCCCATGTAGGTCTGCCTCGAAGTGCGATAGTAGCACTAAAAATATTCCCCCTATGGTCAGTGTGGTGTATTACCCTTAATATTGGAAATAAAGAATTAAGGATTAAGTATTTCATGTGGTTTTATATGTAAAATTTATTCCATAAATTTTTCAGTAATTTTTTTAAGATCTTATAACAAATTGACCAATTAGGGATGTTTAAACATACTTAATTACTAGATTCTTACAGACTGTTACTATGGTTAATTAGATGTCATATATCAACGTTAATGCGTATCTATACTTTTTTATTCCAGCAAACTGAGTATATATACATGTTATCGTGAGGAGGATTGTGCCAAAACAGAGAAGAATTTATTTTCCAAAAAAAAAAAAAACGAGAGAGAGAGAGAGAGGAATTTGAATTTCTATAAACCCTAATCAACGTCGGATGATGGAGTGTCACAGATGAAGGGGCAGAAGACACCAAAAAGTTTGAAATATTGATCTTAGAAAAGTTCCAAAAGCCTACCTCTTTCCTTGATACACGTGAAAACTCAGTACCGGCTAGTTCATGAAGCCATTCCATGTAAGCCCTACAAATCTAAGACATCCAATGAGATCATGCCTTGTCAGGAGATAAGGAGTCCCACAATTATACATTTATACACAACCATGCTTGGCCTGGTCATGCTTAGGATTTTATCTTTCTTTCTTTCCTTTTTCAATTTTTGTTGACATGTTTCATCAAATAACTTAAAATTAATAATATCTTTTTATCACGTCATTATGAAATTTTTAACTATCGCACAATCATGTATTATAAAAAAAAAGTATAAAAAATATGAAATTCTTGCTTTTCTTAATCTTTATGTTCCTTCCATCTTAATTAAAAATTTAATAATATTATACAATAAGTTTGGGTGAGTCAATAAGTTTATTTTCGGTACGTGCAAGTTTGGAGAAAAGAAAATTTATTAATTTTTAAAAATAGGATATATTCGGATTTTTAAATGGAAACTTAAAATATGATTTACTGCTACCAACAAAATCAAACATGGAATTCACGCTATTCGATCTTATCAATTCATTTATTTTAATTGACCTTGACACGTAGCTAAGATATTTCGACCAGTTAATTTCTTAGGTAGAGTCTCTCAATAATTATTTTTTCTAAGTTTTGAATTTTTTTTTACTTACAAGTGTAGCTTACTTATTATTACAGTCAATCTTTGTTGATATAAGAAGATTTATTTAATATTAAATATAAAAATATGTATGATAAAAATTATTTTAATAATATTTACGTGGTATATATTAAAATATAAATAAGTGTTAAAAAATTTGGACAGTAATGCATTTAATATTAACTCTTTACTTATTAAATTATTAAATGAATTTTCTTATGTAACCTCATATATATAATTAAATGGCGATGTTCTTTTAATCGATATTCATCACTTGTAGTATTGGTATTGAAATTGACAAACCGTAGTTTTAACTTTTAAGTATTTAACGGTCTTTGATAGTGGGTTCCTATCTGATCTGGATAAAATATAATAGGTCCACAAAGAGTTAAAAACCCAAAGAATAGGCCCAAACACATACAGGGCCCATGAAATGGGCAAGATCTCCATCGCGCATAAAGAATTCAGAGGCGCAATGGCCTCATTGCGCCTAAACCGCCTAAGACATGACTTAAGAACTAATGAAGAAGTCCATAATACAGCAAGAAACCACCCCGCCATAGACCAACACACGAAGGACAGCTCCAGCTTGCTGCTACTCTAAGAAACTAGCCCATCTTATAGGATTATAGCCTGGAAGGCAGCAGCTGAGAGCCTGCGACAGATAAGTTTGCAGCCCAGGGACAGCCAATCAGAAGGCATATCGTCTACCAAAGGCGGCATCAGACTTACTATATAAACAAAGGGTACACACCCAGGTATGATAATCTAATTCCGGTAAGAATACAACATAAGCCTAACTTTGATACTGACTTGAGTATCGGAGTGTTATTGCAGGTACCTCATCCAGAGTCATCGCGCCAAGGGAGTTCAACATCAATTCACTACATAGTAGCCATCACCAGCCCAAGAAGCGTAGCACAAAGCTCATAGCCTTCACTTATCAACCGTGTGTGATCAGGCCCAGAACCAATTGACCAGCTCATGTTGAATTGGACTGATCACTATCTATACAAAACAATTTTTTAAAACCATTATATATATATATATATATATATATATATATATATATAGAGGTGTCAAAACGGGTTGACACGACACGAATTTGACACGACACGAATACATCAACACTAACACGACACGAATTTTTATTCGTGTCAAAATCTTCAACACTGACACGACACGGATTTTTTGCGGGTTGACACGACACAACACGAATAACACGCAAAATAGGGGTCAAAATGGTAATTGACAAATTTTTTTGAAAAAAATGATTCAAAATTAAATTTTTTTTAAAAAAATAATAAAAATAATAAATAAAATAATTAAATAAAAATACTGGTCAACACGAACACGAATATATCAACACGAACACGACACGGATTTTTTACGTGTCATTTTTCCCAACACGAACACGACACAAATTTTTTTACGGGTCAATCTGAATACGAATTTTCATGTTGTGTCGCGGGTCGACCCACGTGTCATAACCTATATTGACACCCCTATATATATATCTTCTATTTTAGAGATTAAGCAAAGACAAATGTTTAATTGTATATTGATAACAAAATATGACTTTCGTAGATAATTTTTTTAGCAAATATCCAACCTTAAACAAAAATTGTTGAATATCATCATTAGCGAATGAGATGAAAGCCACGACAATATAGCTGAAACCCTAAAAAAAATGAATGAAAGGAAGAAAAGCCGGCGTTAGTTGTATCATTTTCTTTCTTTGTCATTTTTATTGTTATTATTGCATCATTTTATTTTCATATTATGTTCATAATAATAATTGTTATTCGATAAATTTTCTAAAAAAAACATTGTAGGCAAAAAGTTCCCCAAGGAAAAAAAGAAGAAGAAAGAAACTGAAAGGAGAAGGGACATTAAAGTAAAACAAGAACGTAAAATAATTGAACAGGTTAAAGAGAGAGAAAGTAAGAAAACAAAAAAGTGGCTAATGCGAGTGGTCCCAAAGCTGGAACAGCAGAAACCAAGCATTGTCTCTACCTTCGTTCTCATCTTCACGTGACTCTCTTCCTCACCCTCTTCTCTCAACAAACCCACCACTGAGGTTAAGTTCCTCTGCCAATTGCATATATCTACATAGCCCCCAACCAGTTATGGGTCTTTTCCTTTTATCTACTTTGCCTCGTGGCTTTTTCTATCATTCATTCTCTCTTCTTATCCTCTGCTCTCAAATCTGTACTCTCTGTATCACTTCACACTTCTCACTCTCCAATTCCTATATCGGGCAACTTTCCTTTCACAGATATTTCCTCAGCCAAACCCAATTTGATTGATATCTGGGACTTTCCAATCTTTCGGTTCCTTCCTTCTTTAGAGTTCTATTTTTATACATTTTTGGAAATCACATAAATCATAAACTTTATTTTTATTATTTTTTTTTTTGTCTTCTGGGGTGTTCTCTTTATCAATTATATTCCTAAAATGTTATTGGCTTTTTCTTCCCTTTATTTTTTTTTTTAAACATTAATAAAACAAGCCAACAACTTTTATTCCTTGTACTTTCTGGGTTTAGGGTTTTTCACCTTTTTCTCGTTATCTTCCTTCACAATTCATGAACTCCAAGATACTTTCATTTCATGCCATTGGCACTGAATTTTAGGGTTTTCCTATTTTTTTATTTTATTTTTTATTTTTGGTTTGTTGAACCAATGGCTTCAAGTTTAAGTGGAGGTGGTGGAAGAACCTATGGGTTTGATTTCGATGTTAAAAAATCTTCATCAACATCAACTATAACATCATTCACATCATCTCCTTCCTCAACAACCATATCAGAAACCACCAGCAACAACTCCCAAAGAGCAATCTCAACCAAAAAACCTAGAACTCCTCGAAAGAGACCGAACCAAACGTACAACGAAGCTGCCACGCTCCTTTCCACAGCGTACCCGAACCTCTTCTCCACCGAAAACCTCAAAAAACCAGGCAGATTCACCAAACCAATAACGGAAACGACAAATGAATCATCGGAATTGTTTTTGCCATTCAGAGCCTATGGTTATCACAACGACGACCATTTCCTCTTCCAAAATAAACCCACTTTTGATAACAAGGTCTTGAAGCCCCGCACGTGCCATGGCACGTGCTCAGGGGAGATTACCTCCAGAATGGTGAATTCCGATGAATTGGAGTATGATTCCGGTGAAGGCTTCGATTGCGAATCGATTCTTGATGAGGAAATTGAGGAAGGGATCGATAGCATCATGGGGAGCAGTGTCGATGACGTCAATGGCGGCGCTTCGTGTTACCATGGCGGCGGCGGCCAGCGGCTGAGTACGTCGTTTGGTTTTGGCGGGAAATTCAGTTGGGTGAGGGCTCTCCGGCAAGTTGATGACGCGAACTGGTGGAATTTTCCGGCGGTTGATATGCTTGAAATCTCGCCGGGAGTGAAGAACACTCCGACGGTGGCGGCGGCTGCGGAGAAGAAGAAGAAGAAGAAGAAGGCGGTGAAACCAAAAGTGGAATTGAGGGACTCGAGTCAGGGTTTTTTATTGAAATTGAATTACGACGATGTTTTGAATGCGTGGTCGGACCGGGGGTCGCCGTTCGCTGATGATTGCTCCGGCTCTGGTTTGCCGGGAAATGACTTCACTGTACGTTTCTCATCTCCCGCCGGCAAGTAAAAAATATAGAAGGAAAAAACTTAAAAGGCTAAATGTTTGAAACGGCCGTTTTTCACAGTAAAATAGTAAAGACTTTTATGTGTCCCATTCATATGCAATTTTTTGCTTTTAAAGAAAATTTACAATATTTAATGTTTTAAATCATTTGCTATTTGAAAATTTTTATTTTAAATAGTAATTATTTTGGCAGTTATGTTTTTTTCCTATTGAAATTGATATTTTAATAAATTGTAAAGAATTTGTTATTATTATTAGTTTATTACCATTTATACTTTATTAAAAAAATCTATCATAAATTTGATGTAATTTTATTAGAATAATTTAAGGAGTAATGTCTTCTCATGTTGTAGAAATTAAATTTCATCTCTTATACATATAAAAGTACGTGCCTCCATGTGGAGCCGTACGAAAAGAAGAGAGAGAGAAAAAAAACACATTAATCATACACACTTTTGTGTATATAATAAAATTTATATTTTATAACATGAGAAATATTAATCACAATAATTTATGGGAAATAATTTTCTCATTTTACGTGAGAAAATTTTCTTACGCTACACTCACAATATATAAGTGGGTCACATTTTGACTTTTTGTCTTCTCACCTTTTTGTGAACCCCACTCATATATTATGAGTGTAGCATGAGTAAATTTTCTAATGTAAAATGAGAAAATTAATTCCCATAATTTATATACCTTTGATCAACTACTCATGCGAGTTTGTGCTGCACGTCAGCTCAAAATTTGAGAGTTTATCTAAATTGTGTGTGTTTGTAGAGTGTTGTTGGTATGATAGTATCGTGGAAGAAGCAGAAGCACTGAACTAATTCCTTTTGGTTTTTTGCGTTGGTGTGATGACAGGACCAAATAGATTTATTCGCAAACGGAGCAATGAGAGAAGCTAGTATGCTGCGCTACAAAGAGAAGCGCCGTACACGCCTCTCTTCTAAGAAGTTAATCAGATATCAGGTCAGGAAAGTCAATGCAGATCAACGGCCCAGAATCAAGGTATGATGAAGTTTGAAAATTATAAAGAGAAAAAGAAATTTTTTTTTTTCTTCCAATTATCATGATACATATTTTGTTGTCTTAAGTTTCTTTTTTGATGGGTAATGGAACTGGACCCCTTAGAGTGGTTGGTCATTTTGTCCAACTTTTGAGGATCTATCTTATTCAAATCCTTAGGTTTAGATTCTTTTATTTGAACAACTTTTTTTTTTTGGACAAATTTATTTGTACAACTTTTTGACTTGCGTGATTCCTACAAATTCGCTTGAGATTCGTCTAAACCATATTAAAAAGTTATTGTTGTTCTGGTCCTCCATGTATTTTTTTTTGTTGTATAAAGGTCCTCCATGTATTTTAGTTGTAAGTGAACATGATTTAATGCATTCATTGTTCTAACAAGGACCCTCAACTCCAGAACTATTAAAGTGCCAGAAGAAGAGTGTCTGGACTCTCGGGGTAAAATAATCTTGGAGTTAAATTGAGATTTTATTATGAATAATATAATATATGATGTGTTTCTTATTATTATTATTATTATTATAACTGTAACAATACATATGATATTGAAATAAAATAATAGAGTGATTAATAATAAAACTGAATGGAATAAAAGACCACGACTATTATCTTGGAGTTTTCGAAGCAATTAAATAAGAAATGATGGAAACCTGAATTAATTTATATCCGCAGAATCCCTTACTTTAAAAATGTGATTTTAGGATTTTAAAATGAAGCATCTCACTATCGTTCTAAATTATTATTATTTTTAACTAAAATGTCACTCTCTTTCCTTCAAAAACTCAACCAAGTGTTTAATACAATCAAACCTTAACAATGTTATTGTTATAAAAAAACAACAACAGCAAAGTGTTTGTTAATCTTTCAATATCTCAAATATCTTTAAGAAAATAAAATCTTAAATAGCCTTGTAAAAAAATATTTCTTGATAAGCAAATAATTTGTAAATTATGGCTTCGTGTGTTTGTTAAGGTAACAGGTCTACCTTGTTTTTTGATGTGGCAGGGAAGATTTATTGGGAGGGTGAATTCTAGCCCTGAAATGCACAAAGATGATTAGTATTTAGTGGCAGTAAAGCACATGCTTTAGGGAACTACACGTTTCTTCTTCTTTTTTCAAACAAAGTCAATGGGTCTTTCTTTCATTCATTGTTTTTTGATTTATTTTTTTCTTGCTTTTTTGAGATATGGAGATGCAGAGGCAGGATAAAGGAGCAAATTAGTAGTCGAAAATTTTTTGTTTTATTTTGATGATTGGTTTGTTTCATTATGGAATAATTAAGTTATGCAAAAGTCTAATTTTTTTTTTGTTAAGTTTGTGTAATTTATTCTTCTACTTTTAATAGAAATAATTAATCTTAAATAGGGTTTGATGTTTCTATTTTTACTGCAAAACAAAGTTTTTTTATCACACTCACATAAAAATGAGTGGGTCCATTGTAAAGAGAAAAGATTAATAAGACTCACTCATTTTTATGCGAATATGACATAATAATTTTTTCTACAAGCAAAAATATTTTTCTCAACCAACATCTGGGTTAAAAATTGCTAAATAGTATGAATTTGTTTCAAAAAATAAATAAAGGATTTAATGTTTCTCATACACACATAAAAGTATGTGGGGCTTATATTTCTCTTTCTATCTCTCCTTCTCATATGAGCTCCACACACTTTTATGTATATGTAGGAGATAAATTTATCTCTTATAATATGAGAAACATTAAATCCATAAATGAAACATATTACAATGGTGAAAAGATAAACGTTTATACGCTGGATTGCTCCTTAGAATTTCTATATTATTTTTTAACTTTTTTTTTTTCAATTTTGATTCGTTATTTAGAATTTGTAACAGCTTTCGTAAATAATATTCACAACAACAAAAAATAACATTATTGTTTATCATTATTTTAATGGAAAATGATGAATCCTACGAATTTTAAATAACGGGGAATTATTCTAACTTAATATGTGATTTCATGTTTAAATTCAGGATATATATACAGCTATATACCGAATGATTTATAACAAAAATAGATTTAAATTTGGTCAAAACAACTTAACGGTTGAGGAAAGCTCAAAATTCTAGTGGGAGGAGTGGATTCGGGGCCGGCATTCCAAGTAAGAAGAAGACATGATTAATGATTTTATTCCCTGTTTTCCAAAAAAAGAAAGAAGACATGATTTTTGGCAGTCCTAAAAATGTGGTCTAGATGGACGAGGACAAGGAGGATCTGAAAATAAAATAATTGTTTTCTTACAAATTTTTTTACCATTTTGGCCTATATTAAATATTTAAATTAAAATTATAGAAGAACAAGAAATTCTGAGCATGTATGCATCATTTATACTTTTTATATTTTATGTTCCTGGTTATTGGTATTTTACAGATTTGGGCATATTTATCACAATCTTTAGCCACATATGATAAATACACTCCTTCATGCTTTCTTGGACCAAACAAACTCAACGCTATGGTACAACCCAGACTATGCATATGATACCTTTAAAAATCATCTAAAAATACACCAACTGGTCATGAACTTTTGTTTTTTAAATATTGAAGATTTTTAATTTCTACAAAAATTATTTTATTTTTTGGACATATTAATTGATAAATTTTTATAATAACTAATATTATATGACATATTTCAAAGAATTATATAAATTTTTTAATAAAGCGTATTTTTATAAAAATATTTATTTTTATCCTATCTAGTATTATACAATACATTACCAAACACTGGATAGTATTATCTTATACAATATATTATTTTATAGAAAAAGTGTGTATTCTTTTAAAAAAGAGATAAACACAAAGAGATTTGAGTCCTACTAAAAAAAATAAAAATATGAGTCTCACTTTTTTGTATCTATCTCTTTCTTAAAAAGACCTAAATTTGTATCCTTTAAAAGGCGTATACACTTTTCCCTTATTTTATATAATATTATACCAAATATTATATAATATTAAAATTTATCAAGCCACGTACTGCGAAATGTAATGTTTAACTTGTAAGCACGGGTCTCCTACTAGTTCGATATCATAAGTGAATAATATAAATTTTAGAAAAGCCGAAAGTCGAGCCTTACATTTTTTTATTTTTTTTCTGATACATGAGCCATACATTTTTTTTATCACTTGATAGGTGAAATATTTTAGCTTGTTTTTTCTAGTTAATAAATCTCATCTGATTAGTAACGTCCAATTTTTCTTAGTCCCATTCTTCGTTATCCGACAATTTTTTTTTTTTTTGTCTTAGATCTCAAAATTATTGTTTAAATATGTAATTACAAAGAATTTTACTTAATTGTTTACTCTTCAACAAAAAAAGATTCAATTTTACAAAAATATAATTTTATAAATAGTAATTGAAGATACACCATAAAAACCACTAAGTAAATAAACTCAACCCAAGGTTCTTTTTCATAATTTTAGTTTCTGGCTCTCTGGATTTGAGTCGTGTTGTATTATACATAATTTAAACGAATTCCTATATTATTTCAGATTGAGCATACCTTTTTTTCTTCTTTTTCTTTTTTGGTAAATGATTGAGCATACCTTTGTTGTCACATAATTTGCTTTGAACTAATATTTCTGCTTGTCATTTTGATTTATTATTTAAATTTAACAAACAACGGACATAGATAGCCATTCCCACAAATAAAGGGTTGTGATGTGACAAAGTATGTATGAGATTTTTTCAACAAAAAAAAAAGAAAAAAAAAAAAGAGAGTATGAGATTCTATGAGGAAGCAAGTACTAATATTAACATTTTGTATTATTAAAACCTTGACTATTTAACTTCAAAACAGTTGCTTCATTTTTCATTGTATAAAGTAAGGAAGGTACATCAAACTAACAACAAATTATATATTACCCTGCTGTGAAAAAATGTAAAAATATATAATTATTGTTCATCCTTTTCCCTTAACTCAGCTATGGGTACATATATAATAGACGGTTCATTTGAATAGAGTTTATCTGAACCTTTGGCTCTGTAATTTTGAACTTCAGTTAATTTTTGCTTCATACTATCAAGTTTAATCTTCACTTTGCTGAGTCTTTCAAATTCCAACTCTGCTACCTTACAGTCTCCTCCAAATATAATATTCACCCTCCTTTTCCTTTTTTTCAACAGTTTCTTCAAGCTCACGTCATCACTGATCTCCATGGAGTCCTGAAAATGCAAACATTAAAATGCAAACATATTGTTAATAAAACTTCCAACAATGTTTTGTACACCCCATTTTCTCAAGTGAACTGCAAGAAAAAAAAAATTGTTCTTCTTTGAAAATGTTATTTGCCTTGCCATGGTTTATAAAGCAATGTTACTTCTCAAGCACAAAAATGCACAGAGAACATGACATTTGTTTAGACTAGGAGAAAAGCACCTTGTTGCCATTTTCTCTTGTCAAGGGTGGAGATATTTCTAGTTTCCTTTTCTTCAAAGGATTGCTGGATGACTTTGTTTTCTCTTTGCCAATGACATTTTTACCATTCTTCTGGGAATGAATCACAGTTATTTTGGAGACTCTTGATTTCAAAGGCTCAGTTTTCTCCACATTTTGTAATCTAGAATCCTTTGAGGTCTTAGAAGTGAAACTCTGAAGCTGTTCTCCTCCTCCTCCTTGATACTGAACAAAACCCACTTACGTCAGAGTTTATTGCAAAGTCCAATAACAAAACAATATCCAAATTTCTGGCATAAAAAAAATGCCTTGTTCTAGGATTTAAAAAACTAGCATAAGTCTGCATCTATTTAAAGTAATTTTTACAAAGCAACAATGAAAAAATGGGAAGATATTGTGAAGCATTTTCTTTGGTTTTCGCAGGGGTAAACCCCATTCAAGAGCACTATGCTTAAGGTTATTTTCTTAATCTTTTTGTGCACAAAAGCACAAAATGTTACTTAATCCTTAAATATCTTCGACATTAATGGTCCAGTATTAAAGAAAATCCTATTTTACTTTGCAAATGGATCCTTATCTTCATCATATAATCTCCAATTTACTCTCTTATCCAAATCAACCAGCAGTTCCTATTAACTGACCTATTTATTATATATCTTAGTCACCAGCCGATTATAAAAAAAATAAGAATCAAACAGAGCAAGAACAAAAGAAAGAAACAATACTACTAATCAACATCACATTTATCTCAAACTAGTTGGGGTCGGTGGTAGATGAACCCAAATTAAAAGTACTAAAAAAAAATTTGACGAAAAGAAAGGATAAAAATAAAATTAAAAGAACTATAAATACCATTAGAAATGAAAATATAACAATAAACAATTCAGAAGAGGAATAAAAACAAAGAAACAATACTACTAGTATATATTGAAATAGGAGAGAGCAAAAGCATAGCAGTAAAGCTTACCTTTCTGGTTTTAAGTGCCAAGTAACGTGCATTTTTGAACCATTTGCTAACCTGCATTTTCTAACACGTTAGTAATAGGAAGTTGGAACAGATCAAGAACTGCATGGCATGAATAAAGACCAAAAGGCAATGCAAAAAGTTAGGGGGAGATCAATGATACAAAATTTGCGGCGAAATATGTAGTGTTTTCCAAAAGTTAATGTAGTTTTATAGGATGAATTCAGATTAAAATAAAACAAGATAAAAATAAAGACTAGCATAACCTTCCCCGCATCAATTCCCAACTCTTTCGAAAGACCTTCCTTCACGGATCTCGGAGGAAGCTCATTCTCTGCAAAAGCTTGGCGAAGCTTCTGGCACATTTCATTAAAAAATAAAATAAAATTATCAAACACAAATCAGTCCATCTATAATTATTTATGTATTAGTTCTCAAGTGGAATTTCCAGAGGTAATGACAAGAAAGAAAGATGAAAATAAGAACTGCTACAAGTAATACCTCAACTGCATCATGTGGAATCCTGAAACAGGATCTTCTTATTTGTACGGCTGAAGAATTCCCTCTTATTCTGTCATTGTTCTCATTATTGGGATATTTATTCTCACTTTCATGCAGAGTCATAAGAGTATTAACAGCATCAGACTCCTTTTCTCTTCGCTTTCTTTTGCCAGGACCCCAGTCTTCATCTTCACTTACTTGTTCATATGGAGGAGCATCCTTCCCAAACATTTCCTGAAAAGATATAAACTCAAATGAAACTTCATTTACAAGATCTGAATTATCCTTCACATATGGCCAGAGAAGAAAATAGTGAACTCTATTTTTTAGTAGGATTTCCATACACAAAACAAAAACAAATTTTTCATTTACATGACAACCAAGGGAAAATAATTGGAAATTCATTTTTTAATTAATACTATAAACAAATATTTTCCAAACCAATTTATAAACAAAAATCAGGACCATCATCCAATAATAAAGGCCAACACTTTGTACCAGTTAAACGACCGGCATAGCAAGAGCCTTAAATTTTGAGCTATCAACTTAAGGTGGGTAACTTGTTAATTCTGTACTACTGATAAAGTTGTCAACTTTACTTTGAGAACATGTGCTTACGATGAATGAGAACTATGATATACTCACATCATAAAGTTTCTTGTAGTCAACAGCTTTACGCTGCCTACGTCCACCCGCTAATTCGCCAGATTCATCAGAATCTATGTAGCTATTAACAGAACAGTATTCATGGCTAATGCCTTCATCTACTGGAGAACATTCACCACTCAAAGACCAAAGACCAGAATAACTGCTTAAATCATCGGATGCATTATCATCAATTCCTTCCGTGTGGATGCTGTGACTGTCTTCTTTCCTCTCTGGATTATAATCATCATCTTCAGGATCATCTGATGGCCATTCTTCTTCTTGATTTAGTAATGAAGTGTCACCATCAGGTATAGCAGCCTCTTCCTTGAATACATCCTTAATTTATGGGAGAAAGACATTATTACATGGACCAGTAAGAATGAATATATCAAAAGGGTAGTAAAATTCTGAAAAATTGATGTAATAGATTGTTAGGGTAAAAAACCTGCCAAGTACTGTCCAAGGAGAATTGAGTCCCAAGATGGGCATTTGTTGCCTCCAGTATTTCTATCTTACATTCACAATACTTGCAAAACCAGCCTTGGTCTCCAGGAGGAACTGCAATGTATAATTAACAGATTTGTTTTCTGAATGAAAAGCCAGCACACTAAAGCTTGCAGAACTGGCTGGCAAGGGTAAATGGGAACTCACTATTTTCAGTATCTAAAGGAGGATTGAGACATCTTTGGTGAAAAGCGCGATTGCATGTACCATCACAGAGTATAATATCATTATCTGGGAAAGCTTCACGCAGCTTGCAAATTGCACAGAATATCTAGGTGAAGAAAACAGAAAAATAAATATCCAGGTTTTAAAATGGTGAGACATCTCATCTCCCTATGAATTCATTAAACATGAGAATGGTATTCAATGTCAATGACTTCCCATTAGAAAAATAAAGCAAGGTTTGAAGCATTATAACATGTTTTGAGCTGGAAAGAATGCAAAGAGATAACATAATATAGTGAAGTATTTGTAGTTTTGATACTTGCTCACATGTTCATGATAAACAGATCCATCTGGAGCAATGACGGAATCTTCAATGCTACCCAACGAACTAAGAGAATCCAGCTGGCGAATGGCATCACGAATACTAAGTTTACATTTTAAAATCTGCTTCTTTGCTCTTTGTAGCTCCTTTTCAGGCCTAATCTTCTCTCGACTGTAATAGGCATTTCCGTTAAAAAGAATGGTAATTATGAAAAGTAAACTTGAATTTACAATGCCAATTCTATGAGTATGGTCCAGTATGAAAAAAGAATTGATTTTTCATATTCACTCCTCTTTTTTCCCCCTACACTACATCAAAAGCTGTCCCAAGTTTAACCCAAACTACTTTTCTATTTTTCATGAACCAACTATGCCTAAAGCGTAAGCTATTAGGTGAAGGCTCACAAGTGGTTCTATACCTAACACATTTTCACAAGCAAGAACCTTTTGGGCTTTAAGTGGGTATAATGCACAGACACACCTTATCTTGTGTTAAAATTCAACATTTATTTAGAAGAATGGGGGTGACTAGGATCAAACTCATGCCTACTTAGTCATAGAGGCTCCAATACTATGTCATGAACCAACTCTACCAAAAGTTTAAGTTATTGGGTGAAGGCTCATAATTGGTTTTATATCCAACACTATTGAACCATGACAAGATAAAAGCCCTTGTTCTTATAACCATATAGAAGTTTATTGTAATTTCAAATTTCAGAAATGTCAAACAAACAGAAGTTTACTTCATATTTTGACAAGCAGATGATAACTAAACTAAATCTTAGCTAAGCTTCTGCAAACAGAAAAACATAACAGACCATGTTCATTAAAAACAAGAGAAATAGTTAATGGATGTATAAATGAATGTCCAATAAATAAAATTGAATCTTTAACACCCCACAAAAAAGTTGAATCTTGAATCAAATTTTTTTATTCTTATATTCCTTCTATATCTTTGCAAAGTTACTTGCTAAAATTATGCATTTATATATTTGTCCCTTTTTTTTGTGCTTTTCACCATTGAGACACAGAAATAAGTCAAATAACATACCATACAGGTTGATAATTGCAGCATAAATTAAATTATCTAAAAGGCCTCCCAAAATATCCTTGCCAAAAAGTGTTCCACAGCAAACACAAGACAACAACAGGTCCTACCAAAGATCCACTGGCAATGTTGATTATGATTGTTTGTGTCTTTACGATTACATTTCCGACAAAGTATGCTTCCCTCAAATTGTCAGTTAATATGTCAATTACTAGATTAAAAAATCATTAGTTTTCCTCTACATGGATAGGTCCAGGAATCCAGACATTGGACTATTTGTAAGATTTCTCTTTTATCAGACTAATTTCATATGTTTTCTTCATAAGCCATATACTTTCCTAGTATCTTTTTTTTATTCATCGAGAAATTATGCATTATACGCAATACCAACATGATCTATCCTATCAATGTAAATGGGTATATATATCTATAGGTCCTTGGAATAATATATTCCCAAATTTTTCATGTGAACAATTTAAAAAATTCTTTCCTATGATGAAGAGAATATATTTTCCTACTTAAAATAATAAAAATTGCTTCACAGATTCTTTGAAACTTGCAGTAGGGAAGGCCACATCTCATTCTGTCAATTAAAAGACATATTATTTATCAAACATTTGAAAAAACAAAAAGCTAAAGAAAATTTTTTCCTGTACCTTTGACCTTTCCAACCTTCTCCAGAGTAAGCATCAATAAGGTTCTGCTCTAGCTTCATTTTGATTAAGAGGTACCTTGTTCTCCTCAGCAGGCGTGAAGCATCATCAAGATCCACATTATCCCTTTTTCTTCTCTTCTTTCTCCTTCTCTTATGTTTTTGAATCTTTGCCTCCTCATCAACATCTTTCCCCTCTTTTCTAGAACTAAGAAAAACTTTTGATTCTTGTAGCTTTGTTGAAGAGGGCATCAGTGAAGATTTCCCATCAGTTTTATGCAGATTTTGTCTAATAATTAATTTTTTATTTGAAGAATCCTTGATTGGTGTCTTGATGGAAGAATCAGTAACTGTCCTCCTTGATGTGTTTGTACCAACTCTGAGTTTATGAGATTTTGATTTTAGTTTATGTTTCTTCCTGCAATATTTTGCACTACTTGTTTTGAATCTCGATGAATCTAGCTTTGGTCCTGTCTGTTCCTTTGAGTGACTGGATTTTTTATTTCCTTTGCTTTTCAACTTCTCAGTTTCCCGCATATTAATTTATTATGTGTCACCCCTGAAGTACAGGCATAAAATTGATAAATAGTGACATTAAAAGTACAAGTAACATGATAGTCAAGATAAGTTGCTGGACAAGAATTGCACTTTGAATTGCAGATTAATATTACTTCTTACCCATTGCTAAGATATATCATACATGAACATTTATAATACACAGAAAATAACAATTCTTATTAGTAAAAAACATGAGAAGTATAATTGATTAAATCATTGATAGTTTGATACATAACTAGGTATTATTGCCAGACAAAATCATTCTTGTTTATTATCATGCCTGGCTGTAATACTTATTTCATCACATGTATATTATTTGTATATAGTAGGTTTAAAGCTGTAATATTATCTAGCCATGTATAGATACTGTTAGAGAATAAGCCTAGTCAGAATCGGTTTATCTTATGTTTAGCTTATTCAGAATCTGTTTAGTCTGAACTACACTGTTAGAATATTCTAGGCTAGACATTATGACAATATCTCTTGTAATCTCTCCTACATTGTAAAGCATTTGAATTCTTCCTATTTAATGAGAAAGTTTCTCAGAGAACCGATCAGTTTTTTCGAAGAAGCACTCTTGATATTAGACATAGTATCTCTTAAAATTCGGCACTAGGACACTGATTTATGGACACATATTAGCAAATAATAAGATAATGAAAAAGATAATTGTAACTAAATTCACCCAATACCATTTTTAAATGTATGTTCATTTCAGTTCCACAATTCCAGTGAAAGTATAACTAAGGGAGAATAGCCTGAAATTTAAGAGTTACCCTTCAAGCATTATAGTTTTCAATTCAAAAATAGGAAAGGTATTTCCCATGCAGAACATCAAAATTTTAGACACTGTTGTATTTAAAAGACAAATTATGAGAAAAAAATAGTCATCAATAAAAGACAATTCTTAAAATTCTACAGTAAAACTCGACCAAGCATTGCAATTAACATGAATATCAGAGCTCAAATTTTCATGCCATATAAACTAAGCCAAATGAACATATATGTAGAAGCATCAATATATAAGGCATCTTTATATATGAAGTGGAACTCCAAGGAAGCAATTCAAAATTAACCATCTCTTTATTTCGCTTTTGTAGCGTTAACAGTCTTCTGCATTTTTTTGTGGGGCTGGGCCATGTATAACACTTGGATAGGAAAAGAAACATTAACACTCAAGTGTCCGATGAAATATGCTTTCAGTAGCAGATAAACATATAAGTAAGATTCTATACCTTTCTTTCTTTTTTTCTTTTTTTCTTTTCTCTGTTTCCCACATCATTGAAAATTAGTACCTCATACGAGGACCAAAATGTAAGTAGAGTATAAGAAAAGTTTAGCATTAGGAATCTACAAATAGAAATTTTCTAGGGGAATGCATAACAAGTTTGTCTTGACAAAAAACAAATGAATTTTCGCTCGTGGTTTGGCAAAATTTTACCGGACAGAAACGCAAGAATTTGCAATTGATAATATGATCATATGCGGTCAGCATGTACTAAACATATTTGTAAGGAAATGCCAAAGCTTATCTACAACTGCAGTTGTATCTTTCAAGTCTTGTAGAGTCTATGTTTATTTCATTAATGCTGATCCACCAAAATGAAAGGAAAGAAAGAAAAATCCAATCCAAGAATGACAAAACTGAGTGATGTATATTCACAGTAAATTAATTTTTCAGATATATAATCACACAAAGATGAGAAAGACTATAGGTTTCAAAACGGATAGGGATGGGAAGGGGAAAGAAATTAACCTAAGGGCAGTGATGGGTGATGAACCACTCCAGTATCCCCCAAAGAAATCAAGAAACAATCATCAATAGCATAGAAATAGAGAATTTAAACAAATTCAGATCAAAGTAGAACATATCAAACACAGAAACAGTTAATCAAAAACCCAGATGCAACATTGTCAAGTACACAGCACAAGATGAGCTAGCAGCCCTTTTAAGCATTACATAGTCAGAAAATTGAAAAGACTGAGAAGAACACTGAATCAAGAATCATTTGACTATAGGCGTGATGTTCTAAGACCCTGATCACTTCAAAAGGCCAGCGAACCGCAAAACAAGTAATCATCATTAATTTCATTAATAATTTTTCAAAACCATGAGTCAATCTAGAAAACAAGAACTTATGATTAGAAAGTCAAGTGATTAGTGAGTCAAATTGGTGAAGAAAGTCATATCAAGACCTTGACTTTGTAAAGCCCCACAAAGTTCCAAGCTAAAACAAGAGAAACCCACATGAGTTTAAGGCCAATAAAAGAAAACTAACCTGAAATGGAAGAGAAAATATGATTGAAGATCTGAACTTTGAATAGCTCTGAAGCTGTTTCACAAGGGAAGAAGGAATAAGCTGAGAGATTTGAATAAAGTGACCCTTTTGATTGAGTGATTTTTTTGAATTTGAAATTGGGTCTCAGATTCCCAATGTTGATAGGGCAGTAGCCGGTTATGGTTATGGTTATGGTTATGCTTCTTGTTGTTGTTCTTGTTCTTTTTCTTTTTTTTTCTCTTGTGTTTTGTGGCGCACCTTATGATTATTCCACGCACCCAGAAAAGTGTTCAATTATGTTTTGTTTGTCCCTCTCTAGTTTTAACCAAAATTGTATATCTTTACGGCAAGAGAAAACAAATTTGCTCCTTGGGGAACTCAACTTCAAGCTGAATATACATGTTGTGTTCTTTCTTAATTGTGAATAGGCAATGGCATTGGGGTGTCTCCAACCATCTATGCAAATTGCAATCTTCTTCCTAAACTATGATATAAAGCTAAGAATAAGATTGAGATGGTTATTTAAGGAAGCAAAAGAAAATGGTGGCTTGGCTTGGTTATCAAGTTGGGAACTTGGGATACTACACCCATTTTTATTTTTATTTTAATAGAAAAACATTATGGTTATTTAGATGGAAAAAAAAAAAACAAATTCATGGTGGCTTGATACTTCGTGTGGTTTGCTAAAATATGAAATAGAGAGTGGAGCATGGTATATTCTCAAATGTTAAAAACTGAATTGTAAATAAAAAGAAAAAAGAAAAGATTTTTCTAAAATCTTGTTTTTTATTTTATTTTTTTTAGATGCAGCTTCAAAGTTTATATTATGCTTATCTTACTTTTAAAATCTGTTTTTGGTATTTAAGGTAACCGGAAATTTAACTAAAAAAATGTATTCAAGTTGTGATAACCATTTTCATTACTGAGATTAAAAAAAAATATTTTGAAAACAATATCATGGAAATCACCAGGCAAATACAAAACAATACATAATTAAGAGTTGGATGTTTCTTATGTTATCGAAGATATAATTATCTATTGTATACATATAAAAATATATGAAATTCACGTGAAAAGAATAAAGAAAAAAAAATATAAATCTCACATACTTTTAATATATGCATAAAAGATAAAATTATCTCTTATAACATTTGTCATTGCCCTCGCAAGTGACCTATTTATCCTTACGACCGAAGTGTAAGGATATACATAAACCAAAACAAAAATTAATCACAAATTTTACTTCCATCACAACCATTTATTTTTCTTCGTTTTCTTCCTCTGCCATTTCCCTTCCCATCAAAGGCCAAATGGAGAAGATGATCTTAAAATAACCATCCCTTTTATATATATATGTATGGAACTGAATTAAATCAAATCAAATAATCAATTAACTAGTTAAAAACACAGATATTGTACACAACTCAGAAATATATGTGAGCAGCTTTTCCCAACACACTAGAAGGGGTAAAAAAAAAAAAAAAACACTCCGTTTCCGAAATAAGTATAAGCAACTTTTCCCAACGACAAATTTTTCGCCTTTCACTTTATATTTTTGGGTACATAAAACGACCCTTAACCCGTAGGTGATGTAAAGAAGGGTTTGGAAAAACAAAATGCCATTAATATTTTTAGTCGGACGGGCGAGCCTATGAAGCACTCTATTTAGTGCGACATTAACAGTTCAAATACAAATGGTAAGAAACGAAGACATTTTCAGTTTTGCCATTTTAACAAAATTCAGCTTAAGCATCTTGTCCAAGTATGATTGTTCAAGGTTTGAAACCTATCCAACAATGTGAGCAGTTGCAAGATAATTTCATCACATGCGTTGGAACTTAGAACTAAGTCAAAAAGTATGTTCTCCTTTCATACATTCAAATAAAATTCAAGTGCAAGAAAATTGAGTATTGCATCAAATAGAACTTATTTTATCATCTAAACGATGAAATACACTGAATGTGACAGTATCTCTCTGCCTTGATCTTTCAGATTTTAAAACAACAAAAGAAAGGAAGCCAGTCATCTCCAATTCAACAACCCGGATCCTGCTAACAATTTAAAAAAAATTCAAATTAGGTATCAACCACCAAATATAAAACAAATAAAATAAAAGTACCAAACATACGAGATAAAAAGCATTAAGTAATTAACAGAGAGTTAAGAACAAGTATGATCTATTAACAGCAATAGAATCGTGGCAATGTTTCATCACTCAAAACTGACTAGAATTTGCTTGAGTAGAATGTATTTAGAAAGAATAATTAAGAAAACTTTTGAAGTTTAAGAAGTTGACAAAAACTAATTTGTTGGGTAGTTATTTTGGAAAGTAAAATAGCCTCAAGAAAATTAATTTGAACTTTGAAGGCTGCATTTTAGGACCATGATGGTCAATTTATATTCAAAGGCCAGCATCCCATAATTACTTCGGAAATTTTAGGGAGTGTTTGGTTCGTTTTCTGTTTTCAATTTCATCAATAATAACAAAAAAGTCACCTTGTTTTCATTCTATTTCCAATATTCAAGTTTTTGTGAAAGAGATGGTAAAAATAACATTTATTTGTTTTTGCCAGCTCCTCTACAAATTTTTTATAATTATGACTGAAAACATATTAACTGAAAAATGAAAATAGAAAACAAACTAAACACCCTCTCAGAATGTTACTTATGTTCCAATGTACTTTTGGAACATTGGGTATACAAGAAGTAATTTATGGGAGGAGAGGACAGAGGAATTTCCAAACATATCTGTAAAAGTGCAAAATTCATTCTCGGGGCCCAATATGAATTCTAACTTTTGTAAACATTGGGAGGATCAACTTAAACTGGTGTAAATTTAACAAGTCTCACATAAAGTTATCAAATGCGGATTGCGGTATGTCGCGGCCAACCCTGAAAAACGCTATAGTGCTATAGCGGGTTGCGGTTGCGAAAATAACGGAATAGATATGTGACATAAATAATGACAAAAAGAAACATTTTTTAAAGAAAGATATAGCAGAAGTGACAGAGAGAGATGCAGATAGACTAAAAATCCCTTAAAAAATTTCTGTTACACATTTAAATTTAGGACAAAACTGACATTTTGCCTTATGACAACAATATGGCAGCGATTTGGCCGCAAATGTGACCGCGATAGCCGCTATTGCGTTCCGGTGCAGCGCGACGCGGTTTCTTGGGGCGAGGCACCGCAACGCCCATACGGCGCGGCTCGCGGCGCTATTGCGGCGCAATTAACTACTATCTCTCACATTCATTATTAGTCGTTAATCTCACTTGCATGTGAGGACTCACTTGACTGCTAAATTATAGTTGTGTGTAACTGTGTAAGACTTACACTAGTGCAAGTTAATCCTTCCACATTCAAACATGCTAAACCAAACAAAGGATATCCTAGCAAACATGACAGAAACATTAAAAACACGCAGGCCATGCTTTTCAAGCCAACAAAAGAAACTAACTAATCTGTTGCTATCATAAGACTACACACAAATGAGATCAACGCATCAGATGACAATGCAGTCATCAATGGCAGAAAAAACAAATCCTTCATGTTATCTTTTAACATTTCTAAGTTCAATTTTCATAACTAGTTTCAATGAAAACAAATCACTCAAACTTATGAACATGATCTAATTTGAATCGACCGAGACACTCATAGGGCCAAACCTAAATAACTATTAGCCCAGCAATCAGAAAAACAGGATATTTAATTAGCTTGCCACTATCCTGTGAATATTTGCAGTTAGTTCTAAAGTCAAGTCAATGTATAAATTTTAAGGTAAATAAAGGATCAAATAGCATCAGTAAATTTCTCGAGTTAGACACCAAAAAATTGATGTACCCTGACTGGAAAAAGACTGCAACCAAGATAATGTGTTCAAACAGCATGGAGGCAACCCGGTAATACCTAATTTCGAAACACAGAGCAGAAGGACCACCATCTCAAACAGATAGGGCAAGCATCATGTGATAATTTATAAGGGAAAAAACCTAAAAAATATCACAAAACCTTTATCTCTAAATACTGAGAATTCAACAAGATCTTTCCACGATAAGCAGCAACTATGCATATATATGTATATAATCTCAACAAACACACGAAACAGCTTCTACGAAACCAAAAATGCTCTCTCAATAGATGTATATAATCACGAACTTGAAATTCGATGAGTTATTGGACAGAACAACGAGAAAAGGTTAAAATAAACAGCAGCATCGAATAGAAATCCAGATCGAAGGGAAAAGGAAAATGAATGACCTGAGGAGATGAGAATCAGTGATGTCCTGCAGCGTGCTGGCGCTGGTGTTCGAGGTGGCGACGCTCGTTAGGGAGAGCGACAAGGTAGGAGAAGATCATGCCACCGTAGCAAACATGGAAGAGAGGTTCAGGAGAATCGGTTTCGATGTACTTGGCGTGGTAATTGTCCAACGCTCTCTGAACGGATCTCTTGATGTAATTAAATGACAGCATCGGCTTCACGTGCTCAGGAACCTCGCTCACCTTCTTCCCCTTTATCTCGTTGAAGAACCTCCTCATCGCCATTGCTATTGCTTTTGCTATTGCAACGCTTCCCAAACCAAACCCTACAATTCAATTCCACGCTTTTGCTTTTGCTTTTGCTTTTGATCTTGGTCTTTGATACCGGGCTAATAAATACGGGTGGGTTGGTATGTAATTTTATAAGGTTTATTGAGTGAGTCTCTATAAATTTATTTTCTACATGGGTTTAAATTCTCTCCTTTTAGTTAGAGCATATAAATATGGAGAATTTATAGTTAATATTTTTTTTCTTACTATCTCTTATTACTAAATCTTAATTATTGATTTCCGTCAATCTAACAGTTGTAATTTATTGAATCATATTTATTAATTAAGTATTAATTTCTGACAAATTATAACTGTTAGATTGGCGGAAAACAACAGTTAAAATTTGGTAGTAAGAGATAATAAGAAAAATAGGTAGTAAGTATAATATCTCCCTATAAATAATATTGGGGCAAGATATACTTACCACCAAAAATGTTTACCACCTTTACAACCAACTTAATCGCCGTTGATTTTTATCAATCTAACGGTTGTAATTTATTGAGTTTATTGAAAATTAATAATTAATTAATAATTGCAATCCAATAATTCTCAGTAAATTATAACTGTTAGATAAACAGAAATCAACGGTAATTAAGTTGGTTGTAAGAGTAGTAAACTTTTATGGTGGTAAGTATATCCTACCACATATATATTTTATCTGTCATATTTATGAAAAATAAATAAATGGATATCGTCATTAAGAGAAGAGAGAGAAAAGTTTGATAGAGCTCATTCATTTTTATGTGAGTATAGTAGATAAAATACTTTTGCAACAAAAGCAGAAATAATTTTCTTTTTCTACATATATGTAAAAGTGTGTGCCATCGTATTTTTTTCTCTCTCTTTTTCTTACATTAGCTCATATTATATTTGTAGTAGATAAACCCAAAAATATTAATTTTATGTTGTAGGAGATTAGTATTTCATGATATAGATACAAAACATGTAAGGCACATGTGCTTTGTATCTATGATATGAAATACTAATTTCCTATAATATAAGACTAATATTTTCCTTATAATATATACCATATATATATTATTGGGATTATCATTTCTGTTGCAGTGTAAGAAAATTTTTTTTATCAAAAAAAAAAAATTCCTTTCACCGAAACAAAAATGATAATCCATATATTATTATTCTTATAGCTTCATGTGAATCATACTCGTGATCCGGCCCTAATAGACTAACCAAACAACTACGCAGTTTGAACCAATGGGCTTCCTATATGTCACACGATGTTTAATAATATTTATATGGATTTTATATTTTTCATATTACTTTAGAGGAACTTTTTTATATCATAGAGACAGAAGTCATATAAGACCCATATATTAGAAAAAGTCATATATAAGATTCATATAAACTTAGAAATCAAAGGGTGTGTAAAAAAATTTATCTTATCATGTTACATGAGAAGTATAAAATCCTAATTATATATGTCTAAACAAAGGGTTTTATAAGAGTTATGTTGTAGGAAAAGTGATTGTGTAATGTTATAGAGATTCGTTTTGCGTGCCTTAACTTTTTTAATCTTTTTTGTTTTAAAAAGTGCGGGTCCCACAAAATATTGTGTGTGTAGGAAATTTAATGGTGTCATGTTAAAGGACAAACTACAATCCCCTAAACAAAATATCTTATAGTAAAAATAAGTCAAAATATATTAAAATTTATTCTTAATTTTAAAATAAATTATAAAATTTAAATAGTAGAGTGAGTTACATGTTATTTATCCTATATACTTTTATTATTTTACAATTGACCTCTAAGTTTTTTTTTATTTTATCATTTAGTTCCATGAACTTAGTTTTAAATTTTGAGGTTAAAATTTTTTCATTGATAATGGATAGATTTAGGGTGTGTACGATATTTCTAAAAGTTTTTTTTTTTTTACTCTGAGGAATAAAAATAGTTGAAAATTACATTTTATAAAACCAAATTATATTTTGTTTCATAAAATAAACTGGTAGCCAAAAAATAAAAATTAAAGAAATTCTTTGTTTCCGGACACATAAATAAATAAAAATATTGCTCTTCAAAAATAGAGGCAAAGAATATAACTATAGTTGGATAAGATAAGCTAATTATCTCAGTATTTGACGATGTTTTTGGAGAGAAATAATTTTTATTTTTGTGCTAGGGGACGAAAAAGCTAAAATAAATTATTTTTTCTCAACTTTTTTTTATGGGCTACATTCATTTTCACTGGAACAAAAAAATAAATTGATGTTACCAAACTGAAAATTTATGTTAAATTTTGTTTACTACTGGATCACTTTTATTTGTTATAATATTCATAATTTAATATTTATTATATATTATTTTAATCGGTGTAACCAATGATCCAGCACCTTGACCGAGTCGATGAGCGAGCTGAGTTTTAAAACATAAATTTGTTTAAATAATTAATTATTTTGCCAAATAATTTTTTATTTGTCCAGATCTAAGTGCATAACTTTAAGAAGGTCAAGTAATCAATTATTCCTTTCTATAAAGTATAATCGATTATTGCTTGAATTTGTAAGAAAGATCTAGCCTTGCAAACTTATTTGATGGAGAAAAAGGAAAAAGGAATAGAGAGAAACCCAAAGCAAAGGAGATAATTTTGAATAAAGGTGGCAACTAGTGATAGTGGATTGGTTCGTGTCGAGTCAGGATATGACTTCGAGTGAAATTGTCCAACCTAAACATGATATGTATTTGTTTACATATTAAAAATTCAAACACGGACATACTTGTCGCAAGTCACACTGGTTGACATGTAAAATTGAACATTTTTTTTATTTTTATTTTAAAAAAACTTGAAAATAGCTAGAAAACTTTAATGAAATACGGGGTTGACTTGTGACCTACAATGGGTAGTCAAAACCACTAAAATTCCTTTTATTGGACAAAAAAAAGATATGTGGGTCAACCTATGATACAACACGATAATAATTCGTGTCATTTTCTTAAATTCAAACGTAATCTGTTGGAGTTTGTATCTAAATCCTATGGGTTATGAATAAGAAATGGGTTGAAGAAGGAAAGAAAGAGGGAAGATGAAAGGGTGTGTGGGTTATAAACTAAGAGTCCCACATCGAACAAGTAATGAGAGGTGGAAAGGTTTGTAACCTCCAACCTCACACTCCTAGATTGTCCCTTTGGGCACTCCAAATTTTGTGGAGGAGAGAGGACTTAGGTGGGCACTCCAAAATAATATGCATTCAAATTAAATAAATTACCAGTGCCGAAAAAATAATTCCGCCAATTACGGGACATAACATTTGCACTTAACAGCTCTATAGCATTTCAATAAAACAGTACATGAAAACACATCATGCATATAAACCATCCCCCATGGGACATGGTGGAACCAACAGTGGCTAAACCGAGGGCACGAAAGTTTACCTTGCAAGCTAACAATCCAAGCCAAGAGTCCACACTAGCTCAAAGCCCAAACACAGCAGAATCACAATCTGTTATGGACCAATTATAACATCAATATTCATACTCTACAAGCATACAATAAAAGACAACGTCTTTCCTTTACGTTTTACGTCTTTAGGCTTCTCACAAAGCCATAAGCCCTTAATCACTTGATTCTGACTTACATTAATTATTACAGAAGTTCAACTCCATCAATCTAGGGTCCACTAACCCCCAATAGCCTTATGTATGAACAGTGCAGCTACTGTTCTTCGAAAACCCAGAATATCCGAATATTTGTCGGGGGCATATCCGGATATCCATATTCGGATATCCCATATCCGGATATCATATCCGGATATTTCGCGACAGAATGCAATTCTGCATTTCGCGAGATATCCATCCAAAGGTTGGGTTTTTAATCCATTCCAACGTTAAAGCATGCATTTTTACTCTGTTTTAAGTCCACATACTAGTTGGTTACTTGTTTAACTCATTAAACATGGCAAGACACCACTTTTACTCATTAAAATTCATGATCAAGGTTGGTGACACTTACCCAAGCTCAAAACAGCAACCAAGTGTGCTCTTGGAGCTCACAAGCCAGCCTCAAGGTTCTGACTTCAAGGGTGCACAAAAATACCACCCAAGCAAGGATCTTTCTTCACAAAGATTGCTCTTTGGAGCTCCGAAAACCCAAGGGAAACACTCCCACACCAACCAACACAGAAACAGCCCCTCTCCCTCACACACACAGCCCTCACAACTCAGAAAAGGCACCCTTAGCACTTTCCAATGCTCACACTCAAGTGTTTACTTGATCAAGAAGAGAAATAATGATCAAAGGTGGTGTCTTTGGTGAGAAAATGGAGAAGGAAGGAGGTGGTAGGGTGGCTGATGAAGAGCACTCAGAAAACCTCACGTAGCAAGTCATAAAAATGACCTAGGATCATGTGTCATGGCCTTATACAGGCCACTTAAGTTTTAATCACACTGTATTAGCGCTAAATGCTACGCTTAGCATTTTAATCCCAAACTTAGGATTCTGAACCTACTCGTTTTTCTAAGATTTTTCACATTTTTATTTTATTTTTCACAGTACCTTTCTGGTACGCGCTTTTCCATAGCCAGTATCAGTTCTGGCACCAGTTCTCGTTATTTTGACCTGAAACTTGTTTTACTAGTCCTATTTATCATGCACTTATTATAATTTTCCGGGATACTTTTTCGGTACGCATTTATACCGAGTAGCAGAACCGATATCTGCACTTTTCGTCCGAAAAACGACTTTCAGCATTATTAACCACTTTCTATATTTATTTAAGCCTCATAATAATTATTAAGGTCAATTATGGAATTATTTCCTATTTTCACGTAATTAATTAATTAACTTCCTTAATTAACGGTGCAGGTTCTTACATATGGCAAGTATTTGATTGCTGCACGTACAGCAGCTGCGGAAATGTAAACTCCTATGTATGCATATATATATACATACATACATACATACATACATATATATATATATAGGGGCAGGATCATTTGACACCGGTATCAAACTTCTAAATTTGACACCAAATCTTAATCATTGATTTCCGTCAATCAACGGTTATACTATTCGCCAATCAAACTCATTAATTAAT